AACAGTTGACCTGGCCCTCTGTTTAAAAAGTGTGTGCACCCCTGTTTTAGAAGAAAAGATGCATTTGTCTTTCTTTATTGTTATTTCTGGTGCAACCCTGAGACCAAGATTCCTAGGTTGATTATCATCAATGTACATTCTGAGAGACACCTCAGGGTTCTCTCAAATGCACAGTGGTTTGTCAGCAAATTAGATGATGATGATAATAATTTATGTTCTGCGTATCCCCATGGATCAAAGCAAGGAACAACAACATATTAAAATACAATGTAGACTATAAGTTGAAAACCCATCACATATAACCCAGTTAAAACATTAGTTTAAAACACAACAAAGCTCGTAAGTTAGTAGTTTTTTTCAAATATATGCACAACAGGGGGAATAAAATATGTGCTGCCATTAGCCAGTGGAAAGCTGTAAATGCAAAGCATCCTCCCACTAACACCTCCTGATATTATGAAAGAATTAACAGCATGCATCCTTTATTTGCTGTATTTATTTTGTTAAAATTTAACAGACTGTGGTACCACAAGGGCATAGCTCCCTTGTACAGGTGTTACATTAATACTCAAATAATGTGGGAAGATATGGGAATTAACAGGTGCAATTGTTTTAGTTCAAACATTAGTATTGCTCCTTAGCAGAAAAATAGAAATCAAATCCATCTGTTTGGAATAGTGGAAAGCAGCATGATCCCTTTGGAAGACACTGGGGATAGACTTCTAGGCTAGCGCCACATGATTTTTCTTGCATCTCTAATAAAACGACAAACTCTGAACTGCATTCATAATACTAAGGAGGACACGGGGGCTTGATATTCTTTTGGGGCTCTAAGTGAGCATAAAAAGAGTTGCTTGAGTACTTGTACCTTCTTAGAGGTTGCATCTACTCTTTGTACTCTCTCACACTCACTTTTGATTTGGTAGATAAGGATGGAGCCATACAATCATTGGGCTCAAAGAGAGCTCAAGGCCTTGGTGTCCATTGGCCAATCAGTAGACTAGAATCTAGTGTAAGCCTGCCAGTGTATGCATTCATAGAATTAAAGAATTGGAAAGGACTGGAAGGATCATCTAATTCAACCTCCTGCCATGCAGGAACACACAGCTTAACAGTTCTGAGAAATGGTTCTTTGACATGTGGTTTAAAGGCTTCAAAAGAGGAGGAGTCCACCAACAACAGTTCTGGCCCAACTTACATGTCTGAACGCATTTCTCCTTATGAACCATCTAGGACCTTAAGATCATCTGGTACTAACCAGGGTTCATTCTGCTTAACTTCGTCACAAGTAAGTTTGGCAGAGACGAGAGACTGAGCCTTCTCAGCGGTGGCCCCTTAGATCTTAGGATTTCTATTTTGCTAGCAAAACATGTAGATCTTGATTCTTTTCAACATGGCAGGGAAGTTGGTGAGGCAGGATAATTTACTTTCCACCTTTTTCTTTTCGTTTTGCTTTCCAGCAAGTTTTTCTGGAGGCTGAATTTTACTTTTCCTATTGTACATAGGCTTGATGAATGCAAGGCTGGGGTGAAAATTGCTGTAAGAAACATTAACAACCTCAGTTATGCAGATGACACCACTCTGATGGCCGAAAGCGAGGAAGAGCTGAGGAGCCTTCTAATCAAGGTGAAAGAAGAAAGCGCAAAAGCTGGGTTGCAGCTAAACATCAAAAAAACCAAGATCATGGCAACAAGAATGATTGACAACTGGAAAATAGAGGGAGAAAATGTGGAGGCTGTGTCAGACTTTGTATTTCTAGGTGCAAAGATTACTGCAGATGCAGAGTGTGGCCAGGAAATCAGAAGACGCTTACTTCTTGAGAGGAGAGCAATGTCCAGTCTCAATAAAATAGTAAAGAGTAGAGACATCACACTAGCAACAAAGATCCGCCTAGTCAAAGCCATGGTATTCCCTGTAGTAACCTATGGATGTGAGAGCTGGACCTTAGGGAAGGCTGAGCGAAGGAAGATAGATGCTTTTGAACTGTGGTGCTGGAGGAAAGTTCTGAGAGTGCCTTGGACTGCGAGAAGATCCAACCAGTCCATACTTCAGGAAATAAAGCCCGACTGCTTATTGGAGGGAAGGATACTAGAGACAAAGTTGTAGTACTTTGGCCACATCATGAGGAGACAGGAAAGCCTAGAGAAGACAATTATGCTGGGGAAAGTGGAAGGAAAAAGGAAGAGCAAGGGCAAGATGGATGGATGGCATCCTTGAAGTGGCTGGACTGACCTTGAATGAGCCGGGGGTGGTGACGGCCGACAGGGAGCTCTGGCGTGGGCTGGTCCGTGAGGTCACGAAGAGTCGGAGACGACTGAACGAATGAACAACAATTGTACATTAAGCACATACAACTACAGTAGGATCATCTAGACTTGAATCCCATTCTTTCCTGGATCAAGTTTTTTGCATTGTTTATTACAGGTAAATTACTGCAACCCAACTCTGAAAAGCTGTAGTTTTCCAGTCCTCTGTTGTCATTCCCCCAATGTCAATTCTACAAAAAGTTATGATCTCCAAAAGGTTATGAATGCTATTTTCCAAAAGGGCAGTTGTATAGTTAAGTTGTATCAAGTCTGTGGCCTTTTGGGCCACAAGGTGCTCCAAAAAGGATCCCAAGACCACTTTGACTAGGTCTCCTCAACCTGCAGCCCTTCAGCTGCTTGGGCCTCCAATTCCCAGAAGCCTTTGCCAACTTCCTCAATGGAGAAGAATTGTGGGAAATGGAGGCCCAAACAGCCGCAGGGCCACAAGTGGAGGAGGCCTAGTTTATTTTATTTATTTATCGTGTCATCAGCAACCATTGTATTACAATTCTAACAGAGCAAAACAAACACAGAGATTAAAAAGAAAAAGAAAAAAAACACACAGATTTTGCAAATTTGGTATTTGATTAAATGTCCTTTGACCAGTCTCCGGCCCCTTGGAGTGCCTCCGGGGTTGCCGCAAGAAGGTCCTCCCTGGTGCATCATGTGGAAGAAGGGCTCAGGTTGCATTGCAGCAGGTGGTCAGTGGTTTGCTCTTCTCCGCACACTCGCATGTCGTGGATTCCACTTTGTGGCCCCATTTCTTGAGGTTGGCTCTGCATCTCGTGGTGCCAGAGCGCAGTCTGTTCAGCGCCTTCCAAGTCGCCCAGTCTTCTGTGTGCCCAGGGGGGAGTCTCTCATCTGGTATCACCCATGAATTGAGGTGCTGGGTTTGGGCCTGCCACTTTTGGACTCTCGCTTGCTGGGGTGTTCCAGCGAGTGTCTCTGTAGATCTTAGAAAACTATGTCTTGATTTAAGTCGTTGACGTGCTGGCTGATACCCAAACAGAGGATGAGCTGGAGATGTCTCTGCCTTGGTCCTTTCACTATTGGCTGCTACTTCCCGGCAGATGTCAGGTGGTGCAATACCGCTAAGCAGTGTAATTTCTCCAGTGGTGTAGGGCGCAGACACCCCGTGATAATGCGGCATGTCTCATTAAGAGCCACATCCACTGTTTTAGTGTGGTGAGATGTGTTCCACACTGGGCATGCATACTCAGCAGCAGAGTAGCATAGCGCAAGGGCAGATGTCTTCACTGTGTCTGGTTGTGATCCCCAGGTTGTGCCAGTCAGCTTTCGTATGATGTTGTTTCTAGCGCCCACTTTTTGTTTGATGTTCAGGCAGTGCTTCTTGTAGGTCAGAGCACGGTCCAAAGTGACTCCCAGGTATTTGGGTGTGCTGCAATGCTCCAGTGGGATTCCTTCCCAGGTAATCCTCAGAGCTCGGGATGCTTGTTTGTTCTTAAGGTGAAAGGCACATGTCTGTGTTTTAGATGGATTAGGGATCAGCTGGTTTTCCCTGTAATAGGCAGTAAGAGCACCTAGAGCTTCGGAGAGCTTCTGTTCTACCATCTCAAAGCTCCCTGCTTGAGCAGTGATGGCACGATCATCAGCATAGATGAAACTCTCTGTCCCTTCTGGCAGTGGCTGGTCATTTGTGTAGATGTTGAACATGGATGGAGCAAGCATGCTCCCCTGAGGCAGGCTGTTCTTCTCTTTCCGCCATCTGCTTCTCTGGCCCTGGAACTCAACAAAAAAGCTCCTGTTTTGTAGCAGGTTTCCTATGAGGCGGGTGAGGTGGTAGTCCTTTGTGATATTATACATTCTTCTCAGGAAGAGGCGGTGGTTTACAGTATCATAGGCTGCTGACAAGTCTATGAAGACAGCTCCTGTGATCTGCTGCCTTTCAAAGCCATCTTCTATGGGCTGAGTCAGGTTCAGCACTTGCGATGTGCAGCTTTTGCCTTTTCTGAAGCCAGCTTACTGTGGGATCAGACAGGGGTCTATATTTTCCATAATTCTATGTCAGATACCGGTCAAAGGACATGTAATCAACTACCAAGCTTGCAAACTTTGTGTTTTGTTTGTTAAAAAATGCAGCACAACTCTTTGGTCTGCTCCTGACACTATAAATAACACCAGGTTATGAATGCCATTTTCCAAAATGGCAGTTATGTAGTTAAGTTGTATCAAGTTTGTGGCCTTCTGAGCCAAAATTTGCTCCAAAAGGACTTCAAGACCACTTTGACCTCAACCTGCAGCCCTTCAGCTGCTTGGGCCTCCAATTCCCAGAAGCCTTTGCCAGCTTCCTCAATGGACAAGAATTGTGGGAAATAGAGGCCCAAACAGGCGCAGGGCCACAAGTGGAGGAGGAGGCCTAGTTAAAGAGCTGCCAAACTCCAGGCTGAGAGGCCCTCCCCGCCGGTCACGTGAGCGCGCTCTATGACGTGAGCGGGGGTGACATTGGCGTCTAACTGGCCTCAACTTTTGTGGTGTTTGAAAAGCGCTGCTTGCTGGCCTTTCTTTTTTTGGCGGGAAAAGGGGAAAATAGCCTGTGGAGAGATGAAGCGGCGGGGCGGACTCTTTCCTCTCTCTCCCTCCTCCTCCTCCTCCTTCTCGCCCCAACCGTACAGCACTTTGCAGGAAGTCCCGGCACTTCCTGCGAAGAGGGCCGGCTGAGGAGGAGGAGGAAGAGAGGGGAGGAGAGGAGGAGAGCGGAGGCGCGTCGGGCCTCCTCACGAGTAAGTAGGCGTCCCAAACGGGAATGGAGGCCTCCTTTCAAGTAGCTTCGTTGCTCTTCGTCACTTCAGCGCTTTCGAAGGGAAAACTATATTGGGAGAGAGTTGGCCAGGCCGTGGCTGAAGGCGGTGTGGGCAGCGTTAGCTGACCTCATCCCCGAATAGAGCCAGAGCGCCTCCTCTGAGGGGAAACAAACAGCCCTCTGCCATTTCCACGCCCCTTTCTCCTCGGCCCAGGCGTCTGTTTACCTTCAGAGCGAGCGCCTTGTTTGTCAGTTATGCCCAGGGACCTTGTGGCACCTTTGAGGCTTCCCTAGGGTCCCTCTGCACTGGGGAATGGGTGCAGTTTGACACCACTTTCACTGTGGCCACTTCTACACTACGTATACAATCCAGACTCTGCTTTGAACTAGATCAGGGCTCCCCAAACTTTTTAAACAGAGGGCCAGGTCACAGTCCCTCAAACTGTTGAAAGGCCGGATTATAATTGAAAAAAAAAAAAAACCATGAACACTGCACATACCTTATTTGTAGTGCAAAAAGCACTTTAAAACCATACAATAATTAAAATGAAGAACAATTTTAACAAATTAAAATTTCCTGTGCCACGGTAGTCCACGCTCTGGTTACATCCTGTTTAGACTACTGCAACGCTCTCTACGTGGGGTTGCCTTTGAAGACGGCCCGGAAGCTCCAACTGGTCCAACGTGCGGCAGCCATGATACTAACAGGAGCGGGACGCAGGGAGCATACAACTCGCCTGCTGTACCAGCTCCACTGGCTGCCGATCTGCTACCGGGCTCAATTCAAGGTGCTGGCATTGGCCTATAAAGCCCTAAACGGTTCCGGCCCAAGATACCTAACTGACCGCCTCTCGGTCTATGAGCCCACGAGGACTTTGAGATCTTCCAGGGAGGCCCTGCTCTCGATCCTGCCTGTGTCACAGGCACGGCTGGCGGGGACGAGAGATAGGGCCTTCTCGGTGGTGGCTCCTCGGCTGTGGAACACCCTTTCCGTGGACATCAGGCTAGCCCCCTCCCTGTTGATATTCCGCAGGAAGTTAAAGACCTGGCTGTTTAAGAAGGCATTTGACCAAGAAGTGCAATGACTGGTAATTTGACCATAGGAATGGAACAACGGAAATGATGTCGGATTGTGGGTTTGACAATGAGACGATTCGGAATGTAGTAGTAATTTTGTAGTAATGTTGATGTTTTGATAAGTTGTTTTTCCGATAATGATGAATTGTGGATTATTTTGCACTATGTTTTGTAATTTGCACTTGTTTTTTCATGTTATACACCGCAATGAGTCGCCCTTGGGCTGAGAATTGCGGTATATAAGCGCAGTAAATAAATAAATAAATAATTCTAATAATATAATAATATACCTTGGGAAGTCGGATCTGGCCACGGTGGCCCACGCTCTTGTTACATCCCGAATAGATTACTGCAACGCGCTCTACGTGTGGTTGCCTTTGAAGACTGTTTGGAAACTTCAATTAGTCCAACGGTCGGCGGCTAGATTACTCACTGGAGCTTCATACAGGGAGCATACCACCCCTCTGTTATGTCATCTCCACTGGCTGCCGATCCAGTTCCGAGCACAATTCAAAGTGCTGGTTTTCACCTACAAAACCCTATACGGCTCTGGCCCAGCGTACCTGTCCGAACGTATCTCCTTCTACGTCCCATCTCGGAGTTTAAGATCTTCTGGGGAGGCCCTGCTCTCGGCCCCGCCCTTGTCACAAGTGAGGATGGCGGGGACAAGGGACAGGGCCTTCTCGGTGGTGGCCCCTCGCCTGTGGAATGCACTCCCCGGGGAGACTAGGTCATCAACATCCCTCCTCTCCTTCAGAAGGAAGTTAAAAACCTGGATATGGGACCAGGCCTTCGGGTAAACTGGCAGATGGATAACAGACAAGGACGACCAGAGTAGGAAAGGACAATGACAATGATGGATGGACTATGGATTTATGAATTGGCGAACATTGACCATAAGATGGTTTTATTGCTGCTATTGTATTGATTTGATTGTTTTAATTAGTTATAACTGTTGTCGCTATATTGTAATTTGTACACTGTATTATGTGAATTGTTGGGCATCGAATTGTGCCTTTTGTAAGCCGCCCTGAGTCCCCCCCTAGGGGGTTGAGAAGGGCAGGGTAGAAGCACTCCAAATAAATAAATATTGTATGTACATATAATATTTATAATAATAATAATAATAACCTTTATTTATACCCCGCTAACATCTCCCGATGGACTCGGTGCGGCTTACAAGAGGCCAAGGCCCAATATATCAGTAAAACAACAGCATAACAAATACAACAATAAATAAACGCATAAAACAAAGCAATAAACATTAAAACAATAGCAATAACTGTTAGACCAGGGGTCCTCAAACTAAGGCCCGGGGGCCAGATACGACCCTCCAAGGTCATTTACCCAGCCCTCACTCAGGGTCAACCTAAGTCTAAAACGACTTGAAAGCACACAACAACAACAACAATCCTATCTCATCAGCCAAAAGCAGGCCCACACTTCCCATTGAAATACTAATGTTTATATTTGTTAAATTGTTCTTCGTTTGGATTATTGTATTGTTTTCAAGTGTTTTTTGCACTCAAATAAGATATGTGCAGTGTGCATAGGAATTCATTAATATTTTTTTCCAATTATAATCCGGCCCTCCAACAGTTTGAGGGAGTGTGAACTGGCCCTCTGTTTTAAAAGTTTGAGAACCCATGCATTAGACAATAACACCCCGACGCATGTAAAAACTAAGGCCAGGCCAAATGCAATAATTAAAATTTTTAAAATGCTGGACATCACCAGGTGAAATGGACAGGTTTTTGGAGATAGGTGCGGTATGCAGACAATCTTAAATCTCTAGTAAAGTGCATTTGGGACATGATGCTTGGAGTTTCCTATTCTGGGAAGGCACACTGGAACAACCACGTCTTCAAGCTCTTCCTAAAGACTGTCAACGTTGGGGCTTGTCTGATGTCCTTGGGGAGAGAGTTCCAGAGTCGGGGCCACCACAGAGAAGGCCTTGTCCCTCGTCCCCACAAATTGTGCTTGCGACGCAGGTGGGATCGTAAGCAGGGCCTCTCCGGATGATCGAAGAGATCGTGTGGGTTCATATACAGAGATGCGGTCACGCAGGTAGGCGGGTCCCAAACCATTTAGGGCTTTGTAGGTAAGCACCTGCACCTTGAATTGGGACCGGAAAATGAACGGCAGCCAATGAAGCTCCTTAAACAGGAGGGTTGACCTCTCTCTGTAAGGAGCACCAGTTAACAACCTGGCCGCCGCCCGTTGGACCAGTTGGAATTTCCGGGCCGTTTTCAAGGGCAGCTCCACATAGAGCGCATTACAGTAGTATTATAATGTAATGCAATATAATAGGAGCCCCCGGTGGCGCAGTGGACGGGGTTGCACTCCCCCTGAAGTCTCAGGTCCGCAGTCCGGGTGTCCTCCTGGATTCATCACTTACGTTTGAAGCTCAGGCGTCGGCGGTGGCCGGGAGGGCTTTTGCACAATTAAGTCTCGTGCACCAGCTGTGACTGTATCTCGTGAAGTCGGATCTGGCCAGGGTGGTCCATGCCTTAGTCACCTGCATGGCCTTGAGTATTTTCTGTTGGTCATGGGGGTTCTGTGTGGGAAGTTTGCCCCAATTCTGTTGTTGGTGGGGTTTAGAACGCTCTTTGATTGTAGGTGAACTATAAATCCCAGCAACTACAGCTCCCAAATGTCAAGGTCTATTTTCCCCAAACTCCATCTGTGTTCGTATTTGGGCATATGGAATATTTGTGCCAAGTTTGGTCCAGATCCATCATTGTTCGAGTCCAAGGTTGCAGCCAGAGAGCACTGGGACATGGAAGATGGGAGGGGACTGTAAGTGTCATCCTGTGTCCTTCAGCTGCCTGAGCACAAGAAACAAAGGGTGGCAGTGAGCAGTTGTATCTGGTTCTTGATGTTCTGGATGTTGGTGAACTACAACTCCCAAACTCAAGGTCAATGCCCACGAAACCCTTCTAGTGTTTTCTGTTGATCATGGGAGTTCTGTGTCCCAAGATTGGTTCAATTCCATCATTGGTGGAGTTCAGAATGCTCTTTGATTGTGGGTGTACTATAAATCCCAGCAAATACAACTCCCAAATTACAAAATAATTTTTTTATGAGTGATGGTCATTCCTTGGGTAAGTAGGTGTCTTGTGGCCATATAATTCAGAAAATCAAGGCAGATAATCCACATTATCTGCTTTGAACGGGGTTATCTGAGGGCTCTTCCAAATTGGCCCTATATCCAGGATCTGATCCCAGCAGGTTTTTTTTTTGGGGGGGGGGGTTTAAACTGGATTATATGAGTCCACACTGCCAGATAATCTGGATAAAGAGAAACATGGGATCAGATCCTGGGATATAGGGCCTGTCTGGAATGGCCCTGAGTCTACACTGACATATAATCCATTTCAAAGCAGATATTTAATATGGCAGTGTAAGTTCCCTTCCACACAGTCTATAAAATCCACATTGAACTGGATTATATGGCAGTGTGGACTCAGATCAAAGCAGATATTGTGGATTTTCTGCCTTAATATTCTGGGTTATATGGCTGTGTGGAAGGGCCCAACAAGGGGCCTCATATAATCCTGTTCAAAGCAGATGACCTGGGATCAGATCCTGGGATATCAGGTAGTGAAGATCCAGCTTTTAACTGCCAAAGATCCATCTTATTCGTTCTGGTAACAGACATAAACATATGAAGCCACAAATCCCTTATTTGTATTGTCATGAGTCATTGCAGTTTATGCAGTGCCAAATTGCTGTCATTCTGTAGTACGGCTTCAGCTTTGGAGTGTATTCTTAACTGGAGAATCAATGCAGTTTGACCCCACTTGCCATGTCTCAGTGCTGTGGAATTCTGGGATTTATGGTTTGGTGAGGCACCAGGATTCTTTAACAAACAAGGCTAAAGATCTTGAAAAACCATGACTCCGGGGGTTCTACAGTTTTGAGTGGGGCCAGTTAAGTGGCAATAATTCTGCAGTATAGATAGCCTATTAGGTCTATTTCCTCAGAAGCATCTGCTTTTGCACTGCAACTTCTTTCTCCCAGTGGCTGTAGTCTCAAAGGTGCAACAAGGTTCCTTTGGATACTGACATCTCTGACTCATTTGGCTATGTGTTTGAAACTTGTTTATAAATTAGTCACCGGATGAAAATAAATGGTAAATTGTGATCACTTTCAAAACAAGCGGGCAGGTTTTTACAAGTCAACTTTTTGATGTGCCTTGTCGCATACTGATATGTGATAGGAATTAACAATCCCCTTTAATAGAGAACAGGTGGGAAATTTAGTTTTCCAGATGCTGTTGGTTGTAATTCCCATCAGCCTTGGCTAATGATAAAGGATTATGGGAGCTGCTGGCAAATAGTATGTAGAAGGCCACAAGATGGCTATCTCTCATGCGGAGCATATAAATTTGATGAAACTATAGAATTAAACAGCAACAGTAAACATCAGACTGCTGTGTATCAGAAATAGAGACCCCTATGTTGTAAAGAGAGCTGTAATTTCAGAGAATCATACTTGGATGTTCAAGCAAGAGAGCAAGATGGTGCTGCATAACTATCTGTGTGACTTAACAGTTGTTCTGATCTCTGGGAGCTGTTTCCTTTTGATATTCCTTCCTCCAGAAAACTTTGTAGGACTACCATGCAGCACTTTTCAGTTGCAGAAAACTATGGACTTTGATGTACTGTGTGTGTGTGTGCACATGTGTGCATGGGGTCGTTTGGGGTCTCAGCCAGTCTTGTCCAGCACTATTATATACTTTATTTGATAAGATAGACAAAGTGTGACCCTTCAGATTGCAGTTCCCATTGTTCCTCACCAATTATTATGCTGGCTACGTTTGATGGGAGAGACTGTCCAAAAAAGCATGGGGTATAAAACAGCCCTGAAGTAGTCCACAAGCTGATGACTGGGAAGTTGAACAAGAATCTTCCAGAGTATCCATCTGTCATCATTTGGGGGGGGGGGGGGGGGCAGGTGCAATTTGTACCAAGTGATGCCATCAGAGGAGGAGACACTAAATAATTGTCTATTCCGGACTGGTCACAATCAGGGCCAGCTAACACCTACCAACAAAGGATTCTCCTAGGCACGAAGCAGTCAGGCTTTGAAGCTGCAAGGCTATTCAATGCTAATCAAGCTGGCCAGTTGTAACATTCACACTTGTCTCCAATGTACAAGAGTTCTTTCTCCCACCCTGGACATTCCACAGATATATAAACCCCCTTGCCTTGTTTACAACACACCTCACAACCTCTGAGGTTGACTGCCAAAGATATGGGCGAAACGTCAGGAGAGAATGTTTCTGGAACATGGCCATACAAGCCGGAAAACTCACAGCAATTATTTATTATTTTTATACAGATATCTCATAAAAAACATTTATCATATATTCAGCTTACATGTTCTGTACAAATATAATGGCAAGGGTAAATCTCTATTCTGATTTCATCCTGTGCTTCCTAATGCACATGCGCTATGGCCAATGGTACTCCATTATAGTGATGTTCTGAATCTTGTCGATTTATCTGCATGTACTCCAAAAACACACTTTGGAATGCTGCTGTTATTTTAAAATAGTAGCTCATTTTGGCAATTTTTCAGTATTTTATTTATAATATTGTAGTCTGCAGTGCCATGGAGATTATACCATGAGTTATCACACTGGGTGACACCAACATTGGGCTCCTATCTCAGTGAGGTGTCTCAGGAAAACACCACGGTTGAGGGGATTGAAAGCCACTTAATGGGCCTTGGAACCAACAGGAACACACACACCCCGTCAGATTTCCAGTGAAGATTGTGTATCAAGGAGACATCAATCCTGTTATCATAGTGAAAAACCAGATTGAAATGGATCATGATAATCGATTTAATGCAGGAACCCAATATAAATCTACCTGACCTTAGATATTCATGACAGGCTCTTCTCTCAATCCCTCCACCCTCAGAGGTTTGTTTTTTGGAAACAGAAGGCATGGGCCACTGCACTAGGTGGGTTAGCCCAGTATAAATTTATTTTTGGAGTAGTCTTAGGTGCAAAATTTAGGGCCGTTGTTGAGATGACCAGGACCACATCTGTTGTGCCTTTTTCTGCGTCACCACTAGCAGAAAGGACGTCAATAACTTCTTTTGTATTTAAAAATGGTATGTGTCATGTTGGTTTCTATCTCTCCCCCCCCACCCCCACTATTATGTTGTGACCTACTTCAAGTAACATTTTTGATAGAAAGATGGGTATATCAAATAAATAGTAAATTAAAGATAAACTCAATTGCTCCAGAGCATCTCTGTGGGCGTGTGTTGAAAGGAGATATGGGCAATGTCTTCAAGGAAAATGTATATCTGTCAGAAGAAGTCTGATTGAAGGACCCTGAGAAAAATTCAAGGAACTCGAGCGTTCCTCAACCCACAGTATTGAAAGCAACTATTCTGAAATCTGCATAGCTTTTTTAAAAAAGTAACCAAAAGTCTGAAATTTTTTTCAGTTGAATTTTAGAAAATGTTGATGTTTTTCAACAAGCTCAGAAATAATATATTAGAAAGATGGATTTCAGAGATGGTAAGTGTAGCTTTGAGGTCCTGTCTGATTTTGGCAACTAAGCTGGCCATACACAATCAACAAATATCAGATACCTGAAGCTGTTTCAGAAGAAGAAACTGGCAAAACCATCTCTGAGTATTAGTTGTCTAAGAAATCCTCATGAAGTTAGTGGTATTTGATAGGCAAATGGAAGGAACAGATGAGGTGCAGCTTAATAGACTTGTATCAACATAACTTTGCTACCCACCATGACAATTGTTTTGAGATGCAAGATAATAATTTCATTATCACCATTAAAGTGAATCAACCAGTCAGAATTGTTTTGTGGAAAATCTTTGCTTCTGGGTAACGGATCAGAAGTTATATATAGTGATGTTACCACTGCTTAATGATTTCAATAGGTTAAAAACATCAGGTAAGAGAATATTTATGTAGGTGTGATATTTTTTGAAGATAATTAATATTGACAATTTTTTATTAGAAAATTCAACTAATTCTTTCATAAGTGATTTTGATAGCACTTCTCAGTTAAGTAGGCTCCTTGATTTTTAGGTAAAAATATTTGCTTTTCTGACTCCGCTCAAACAGGAAGCTGATTTTATTTTGTTTTTTGTTTTTTTGCAACTGGTTATTTTTATTCTTTCAAATTGGATTCTGTTTCAATTCACATGAAACAAAAACATTGGGAGAACTTTGCAACAAACAGAATATATTTCTTAAAAACAAACAAACATTTACTTTTTACTGAAGTATTTTTTAAAAATAAACATATAGACGCATAGTTTCCTGACAATAAATAACTAAAGAAATTATTACACAGGTAAATATTTTACCATCTACAAATGCAAACATAAAATAAAAACATACATATAGAGATTACTGTCAAGTCACCACCCACTTAGAGAAGATCATTTTACTTCACTAGGATTATTTCTGAGGCCACGTATTACAGGTTACAGTTATGAACTTTTTTTTTTATCCTGAGTGCAGATCTGTACTCATGGATTGTTCTCACTGGAGGGATAGATGAGAGATAGGGAGTTAAATTTTTGGCATTATTACTTGCCTTTGCCTGTTGCTTGAGGTGGGGTACAACATTGTTAAAACAAGAGAGAAAGCAGCATTAAAATACATACAACATGATACACAGAGCTAAATACAAGTTATTTGCCCTTCCATTTTGCCATTAGATATTAAACCCTTTGTCTAACCATTTATCCATAGAGATTACCTCCTCTACCCATGACAAACATTCATATGTTGTATAAAACAGTGCATGTTTTATGGAAGTTTTTACTTATGCTATTTGTTATCTTTTTTTGTATTATTAAACTGTCTTGTTGAATCTTGACTTAACTCTGTGACACACATCATCCTTTCTCATGCCACTTGATTATCCATATTTGAAAATGGAAACTATCTCTGCCTGAAAAGGTAACTGTTTGAGGAGACATGATGTAGTGGTAAGATGTAGCAGTCTTCAGGTATTTCATCTGTAATGGTCTGTTGCATTGATTTTTCACTTATGAGTCAGGACCTACTGCTTGGATCACAACAGAAGTGGTGTGACTCAGTACATTAATGATACAAACACAAGAAACAAATCTCTCAATACATGCCTGAGTTAAGGAAAGGTTGAAGATCAGAAAAGGTTGAAGGTTGTTGTGGGTGAACAAATGATCTTGCGACATTTCACTGATGATGTGTCCTTTTCTTTGTATTGGTTGCTCCACATTGGCCTGTAAATCCCCATCCCTCCCTAGGTAAATCAAGTTAATGTAGTGCCATTCTTCTTTTGTTTACTTCACACTCTGGGTTTGCCTGTAAAGCATCAAGGAAATGTTTAGCTGTATAAGTAATGCCAAGAAGAAAAGATACATGCAAAAAATAAGGTTTTATTGTATTGTGTTCTTATACAGGTGATTGGAAGTGTTGTAATTTGAACAATGGATGAACAATCTCAAGGCATGCCAGGTCCTCCTGTTCCTCAGTTTCAGCCACAGGTAGGATATTCTACTGGTTGGTAAAAGTAGGTAGCAAAGGATTGGTTAATGTAATACTAAACCATCAGTACCAATGGAAAGCTTATTTTTCAATGTAATTTTTCTGTTTCTCATCCTGTACTGTTCTGCTCTCCCCAAGTGTGATGCAGGCATTTATTTCAGTTTTCTGATGGAATTCAAACTGATCGGTTAAATTATTGCTCTATAGATGAGAACCAGTGTGGTGCAGTGATTTGAGCATTGGACTACAATTCTGGAGACCAGGGTTCAAATCCTTGCTCAGCCAGGTACACCCACTAGGTGACCTTAGGCAAGTCACACACTCTCAGTTTCAGAAAGACAAAAGAAAATCCCCTCTGAGCGAATCTTGCCAAGAAATGACTTGAAAGCACACAACAAACACGAGTTGATGTTGTGTAAAGATTATAGTGTAGACAGTTCTCTAGTGAGATGAGGTGCTCATAAACATTGTTACGTATCTTCAAATCAGCTTTGACTAATAGTGATGTCATCATGATATTTTTTGGCAAGATTAATTCAGAAGAGTTGTGCCATTGCCTTCCTCTGAGAAAGAGACATGGAGGGGGGCTGGTTCCCCATAACTGAACAAGGATTCAGATCCTGGATTATGGAGTCAGATCACTACACCATGCTGAACATGTTGTTGATAAGTAATATCATGCTATTTTTGTGGTATTTGTGTGTGTGTATACATATATTTCTTTTTTAAAGGAGAATATACCAAACATCAAGCAAAAACAGAATATCGCTACTCATTTCAATGGAATGCATGGTCTGCTTCTAAAATATATATTCTGCCTTTTCTTCAGGACATGGCCCAAACAGTCTTACTTACCAATCTCAGGGTAGATTTTTAAAATTCAGTAGTTAGGAAAAGGGAAAACAGCATATTGTAATGGTTTGAGCTAGCAGTTCAAAATCATGCAAATGTGAGTAAATCTATAGGTTTGGTGGGAAGGTAACGGCACTCCATGCAGTCATGCCAGCCACATACCTAGGAGGAGTCTCTGGACAACGCCGGCTCTTTGGCTTAGAAATGGAGATGAGCACCACCACCCGGAGTCAGACATGACTGAACTTAATGTCAGGGGGGAAACTTTACCTTTTACTTTATAAATAATAACAATAATAAAGTAACAACTAGATGGATTCCTCTTCATGGAAATGACAAGATTTTGGTCTCAAGAAGATTTTTAAAAGATATCGTTCATGTATGTGCAAGACATGATTTAGGCATAGTGGCTATCGCTGAGGAGCAGAGGATTAAATCTTGTCCATTTCTCTGATTCTTGAGCAGTCTTATGTAAGGTAGATGTTGGAAGTCTTGCTGACCCATAAGGGATACACATCTTTGGGGACTTAATACCAAGGAGACAAAGATGTGAAAGTTGGAATCTAGAATGATTAGTAAATTAAGAAGGGAGATTTGTGTACAAGGTGATTTTTTTTTACAATGGTTGTGCTGAGCAGTCACATATCCCTCAATTGTCAGTAGTTTTATATACTCACCACCAAAAACAAAGGTTTTAGTAAATCTGCAATGAAGTATCCATCTGTATAAGTCAGCGGTTCTCAACCTGGGGGTCGCGACCCCCAGGGGGGTCGCTGGGTCATTTTTGGGGGGTCGCGAAGGCACCTCGGTTAGCCCCGCCCCCTCCAAAATGGCTGCCGGCCCCTGTGCCAGCCAAACATGCAGGCACTCGAGGTCGGCTCCTCCTCCTCTTCCCACAAGGCTGCATGGAGTCAAGAGGAGGAGCTTAGAGGCAAAGGCGCGCAAGGGAGAAGGTACACTATTTTTGGAGACCTTCTTGGGCCCTCCCCTCCCCGTGAGCTTAGAAGGGGTGGGGGTCAAGTGGAAGGCTCCCCATATGGGCTGGCTCTTGCTGCCCAAGTTTGACCCAGGACCATCATGGGGGGAGGTCAATTTCTCTGGTGTGGGTGAACTACAACTCACCAAAACAAAGGTCAGTTCCCCCATGAAGAAGAGGAGGAAGAAGAGGAGAAACCGCGGAGGCCGCACAGGGGCTGCTGCGGCTGTTTTTCCTCTTCTTGCTCCTCCTCCTCCAGCTGGCCATCAAGGAGAAAGAGAAGGAAAAAGAGGAGAAGAGGCTCTGCTGCTGTTTCTTCTCCTCCAACTGGCCATAGAAGAGGAAGAAGCGGAGAAACTGCAGCAGTGTCCCTTCTCCTCGTCCTCCTCGATGGGCAACTGGAGAAAGAGGAAAAGGGTCCTGCTGCCTTGCCCCGCCTCCCCCCTCCCTGGCTCGAAGGCTCTGCCTGTTGTTGTTGCTGCAAGGTTAGTGAGTGGACCAGCTGGTTGCTCCCTGGGTAAGAAACGTCTTAGCTGTTGGGGAAGGAGGAGCCCACACAGCCAGATAATCCACTTCAATGTGTATTTTATGCAGCTGTATGGAAGGGGACCCAAATAACCCAGGCCCCTTCCACACAGCTGAATGAAATCCCACATTATCTGCTTTGAACTGGATTATCTATGTCCACACAGCCAGATAATCCACTTCAGTGTGTATTTTATGCAGCTGTATGGAAGGGGACCCAAATAACCCAGGCCCCTTCCACACAGCTGAATGAAATCCCACATTGTCTGCTTTGAACTGGATTATCTGTGTCCACACAGCCAGATAATCCACTTCAGTGTGTATTTTATGCAGCTGTATGGAAGGGGACCCAAATAACCCAGGCCCCTTCCACACAGATGAATGAAATCCCACATTATCTGCTTTGAACTGGATTATCTGTGTCCACACAGCCAGATAATCCACTTCAGTGTGTATTTTATGCAGTTTTATGGAATGGGACCCAAATAACCCAGGCCCCTTCCACACAGCTGAATGAAATCCCACATTATCTGCTTTGAACTGGATTATCTGTGTCCCCACAGCCAGACAATCCACTTCAATGTGTATTTTATGCAGCTGTATTGAAGGGGACCCAACTAACCCAGGCCCCTTCCACACAGATGAATGAAATCCCACATTATCTGCTTTGAACTGGATTATCTGTGTCCACACGGCCAGATAATCCACTTCAATGTGTATTTTATGCAGCTGTATTGAAGGGGACCCAACTAACCCAGGCCCCTTCCACACAGATGAATGAAATCCCACATTATCTGCTTTGAACTGGATTATCTGTGTCCACACAGCCAGATAATCCACTTCAATGTGTATTTTATGCAGCTGTATTGAAGGGGACCCAACTAACCCAGGCCTCTTCCACACAGATGAATGAAATCCCACATTATCTGCTTTGAACTGGATTATCTGTGTCCACACAGCCAGATAATCCACTTCAGTGTGTATTTTATGCAGCTGTATGGAAGGGGCCCCAACTAACCTAGGCCTCTTCCACACAGATGAATGAAATCCCACATTATCTGCTTTGAACTGGATTATCTGTGTCCACACAGCCAGATAATCCACTTCAGTGTGTATTTTATGCAGCTGTATGGAAGGGGCCCCAACTAACCTAGGCCTCTTCCACACAGATGAATGAAATCCCACATTATCTGCTTTGAACTGGATTATCTGTGTCCACACAGCCAGATAATCCACTTCAGTGTGTATTTTATGCAGCTGTATGGAAGGGGCCCCAACTAACCTAGGCCTCTTCCACACAGATGAATGAAATCCCACATTATCTGCTTTGAACTGGATTATCTGTGTCCACACAGCCAGATAATCCACCTCAGTGTGTATTTTATGCAGCTGTATGGAAGGGGCCCCAAATAACCCAGTCCCCTTCCACACAGATGAATGAAATCCCACATTGTCTGCTTTGAACTGGATTATCTGTGTCCACACAGCCAGATAATCCACTTCAGTGTGTATTTTATGCAGCTGTATGGAAGGGGCCCTAGATAACCCAGTCCCCTTCCACACAGATGAATGAAATCCCAAATTGTCTGCTTTGAACTGGATTATCTGTGTCCACACAGCGAGATAATCCACTTCAGTGTGTATTTTATGCAGCTGTATGGAAGGGGCCCTAGATAACCCAGTCCTCTTTCACACAGCTGAATGAAATCCCACATTGTCTGCTTTGAACTGGATTATCTGTGTCCACACAGCCAGATAATCCACTTCAGTGTGTATTTTATGCAGCTGTATGGAAGGGGCCTCAGAGAACCCAGGCCCCTTCCACACAGCTCAAGTTTGGTCCAATTTAATTGTGGTTGAATTTCAGAATGCTCTTTGATGGCTGGGGAACTATACATCCCAACAACTCCCAAATGCCAAGGTCTATTTTCCCCAAATGAATGAAATCCCACATTATCTGCTTTGAACTGGATTATCTATGTCCACACAGCCAGATTATCCACTTCAGTGTGTATTTTATGCATTTGTATGGAAGGGGACCCAAATAACCCAGGCCCCTTCCACACAGCTGAATGAAATCCCACATTATCTGCTTTGAACTGGATTATCTGTGTCCACACAGCCAGATAATCCACTTCAGTGTGTATTTTATGCAGCTGTATGGAAGAGGACCCAAATGCCAGTGCGGGATTTCATTCAGCTATGTGGAAGGGGCCTGGGTTATTTGGGGCCTCAGAGAACCCAGGCCCCTTCCACACAGCTCAAGTTTGGTCCAATTTAATTGTGGTTGAATTTCAGAATGCTCTTTGATGGCTGGGGAACTATACATCCCAACAACTCCCAAATGCCAAGGTCTATTTTCCCCAAACTCCACCAGTCTTCAGATTTGAGCATACTATTTGTGCCAAGTTCTGTCCAGATCCATAGTAATTTGGGTTCACAGTGCTGTCTGGATGTAGGTGAACTACCTCTCCCATAATTCACTATCAGTTCCCCCCAACCCCCTCCAGTATTTGCTGTTGGTCATTAGGGTTCTGTATGCCAAGTTTGGTCCAAGCCTGTATTTCGGGGGGGGGGGGGTGTCTCAGTGGTCTCTGGAAGTCAGAGCTGCATCAGTTGAAGGTACTTCAGATCCCATCATCCTGG